AATTTTTGTTATTAGAATTAACATTTTGTTTATTATTTATTATTGTTGAAAAAGAAAATAAAAGAATAAATATTATTTAATACGAAAACTTCGTTTTCGATCAAATATTTAACATAAGAAAAATAAAATATGAATTAATACATAATAGTAATATTTTTTTGTTTTTTAATAGAACATTGAGATTGAAAAATTATTCATTGTTGTAATTATGTTAAAATATCTGAATGTGATGATGTTGATCGACATGCTAATAAACTATGAACATATTTAATATCACAAGGTCAAAAACTTATACAAAGGGAACTAATGAATATAAAAATTCTCAAATGAAAATTCATTCAAAAAGTGCAAAAATATTCATGTTTTCATCTACCTTAATATAGGTCTCTTTTTAAATGTAGAACAATAAATCCTTTTTTTTTCTTCACTATTATTCATATGTTTGTTTGTCGTATCTTTTGTCTATCGACTTAATATTAGTACAGTAAGTAATGGCAAAATATAAATATGTATCAATACTACTTTTCATCACTAGAAATACATGCAACTATGCATATTCAATAATAAAAACTTCATAGTTCATAGGATTTATGGCGTGTAATTCTTATTTCATTTTATGTTTTTTTCGATTAATGTTCTCGTTGTTGAAAGATATGATAAATTTTTTTTTACTAAAATGTTTTAGTTTTACAAATAAAAAAAGTCAGATTTTACCAATAGGATGGTGTTAAACCAAATATTTCTAGTACAGGTAATATTGCGTTTTTAACACCTAATAAAAAATCCCAATTTAAATTTCCATTTGCAGCCCATAAACAATCGTTTGTTTTTTCAATTAATTTACGAATTATATTCATCACATCCAGCGTGTTAATATCTTTTTTAATGCTATATTTATTTCCTTATTGCTTTTTTCAAGGAAGTTATTTAAACGTGTATCACGTTCGTCCAGGTTTTTTTTATTTAAATCAATATTTAATGTTGATGATTGTAAATGTATTTTTAAGTTATTAAAAAATGTCACAAGCATTGGGTCATAATCCACGGCCAGTTGCATGGTATTTTCATTTAAATCAATAGTAGACCACCATGGATTTAATAGACAAAATAAACGTATATATTTTGAACTGTATTTCATGCACGCTTCTTCAATTGTAATCGAATTATTAAAAACTGTTGAGATTTTTTTTTCATTTATTGTTAAATCACCAACAGTTAAAAAATGCTTAATTTCCGAATCTCGATCAATAAAACATTGAAGTTGAAGAATTTCATCATATTTAAGTGCAAATTGATCATCAGAACTACTTATATGAATATCAATGTTCCATTCTAAAGCAAAAAGCAAAAAATACATTTTATTGAGATAACAAATTGGATTGAATATGTAGTTAAAAGTCGAAAGGAAAATATTCGAAAAGCTATACGTAGAAAAGCAGATTGCAAAAAAAAAAAGATCGAAAATGAAAATATCGAAACAAAACATGACAAAAAAATTTGAAAGCAACAACATCAAAATGTTGTCGAACTAAAGTGTACTGTAGGTATCAGAGATGGACGAGTTAGTTGAAAACCTATCTCACCTAGTATCACCTAGAATTTTATAAAAACTCAGACGTTTCCTTATACACTATTTAGCCTTATTTAAAAATTACTATTTCTTTTGTTTCATAAGAGTACATCGAAGTATCTCGAGCAGTGAGAATACCCCAATCTTAAGAAGTTTTCATTCTTTCTTTGCAAAACTCCAGAATTTTTTTCTTCTTTCTTTGCTCATAGATTTTCAAAAAACTGCTCGATCGTCCAGAAATTAGGTCAATTTTATCATAACTTTTCTTATCGATTTCGTAGTTCATAGATACTCTCAATTTTTGTGACTTCGGTACACATCTGAGATTTTTAAAAAAAGTAGTCTCTGGAAAGTCATTCATCAAGAAAGAAAAATTCATGTTTTCATCACAATTCTATTGGATGAACTATTTTTCGGAATGATGATTGAGGAATAGTTCAACGTTTTTATTCAATAATATAGGCTTCTCAAATACTTTTACAAAGCAATGTATTTAGATTTAATGCACTACTAGATTTCTTTTCGAGGTGCTAAAGAACAATATATAGAATTAAGTTGAATTTATTGCATTTTATTTTATTAATGCGCATTTTCCGTCATTCAGATCTATTTCTCTGTTTTTTTTGAACATCAAAATCGAAACTATTCAAATCTTTTTACATATTACATCAGAATGTGTTACTTATAAGAATATTTGAGATATCGATATAATTGAAAAAAAACTTTGAACAGTTCTTTACCATTAGTACAAAAACCAGTTCATTCAATAGAACTATGATCGAAATATAAAGTTTTCTTTTTGATCATTGAGTTTTTGAACATTCTATACTTTTACTTTATATGAATAGTTTCAAAAGAAAAAAAAATAATAAGACCAGAATGAAAAGCTAAGTGTTATTAACTTCATTCATAGAGTTAATCAATATGAATGTTAGAAAATCATGAATGAACATTAAATATATTTAAACAATAAGTTCTTACGAAATATTAAATCAGCAATAGTAATACATTGACTTAAACATTGGGGTCGGCCATGACCCCATGTGGACGGCCAGGAAAGTTCACCTGGCTCGGTTTTCTTCCAAAGAAGAAAATCAGATTTATTTTTCTTTGCTTCATTATTAATTTTTTTTGTTGCTAATGCTTCTTCACGTTCACATAAAACAGTAATATTATGTAATCGATCGAGTTTTAATTTGTCATGTAAAAATTGTTTTTTAAAATTTAATGTATCAAAATAAACTGATGAATTTGATACATATGCATAACCATAGTAAATAAGTTGAAAAATAAAATCGATTATTTGACGAACATATGCACTTGTATGTACTAAAGTGAATGGAGGCAAAACGTTTAATAAGTTCATATCAGCCTTTAATTTTTTATCAAATTCTTTTGTATAATCAAGTAAAATTTTTTCATCAAGTGGATCTATTGTATGTAAATAATAAAAATTTAAAAAAGATGAAAGAATATCATAACAATCATTAAATAATTTCTACAAAAAAAATTTAATTTAATTTAATGCCTTGAGATATATTAAAACATTTACTTTTCGTTTTGTTTCAACGTCAACTAAAGTATCGATATTTTGAAGTGAATTTTCAGCTGTTAAAATTTGTTTATTATATATTTCT